TCGGTAGATTTGACAAACCGGTTCTACCGAATAGGTGCGAACTGGTAGGAACCCACCTCTGGATAAAAGTAATGACTATGGAAGTTGAGGCTATTTAGTGTCCTTCATGTTTTCCCACTTACAGAAAGTGGGAAAACCGTCTATACGTTTTTGGCTCTCACTGAAAACATGCTATAAAACGCGGGTATCAAACTCGCTACGTCACATTGCTGCCATGTGACGTTTCACAGCGTTTCCCCCCATTCACGGAGCTGGGGTGGGCGTGGCCTACGCGTGACGCACCCGGGCCACAGGCTGCCAGTTTGATACTCCCGCTATAAAATCTAAGGCAATACCTATATGAGCTGGTGACCAGCAAAATGTGTCTGGAAAAGTTTCCTTCAGAGCAAAAAGTTTGGAAATCAGTGTTTTGACCATATGCATGTATGTATCTAATCAGTTCTGCAATTTATTAAAACTAACGACAGTTATGTTCATTTTCTACTGAGATCACTATATTGATAAGACATAGCGCACGCATCAAATATGGTTTTCCTGCTTCTGTTTGAAAAAGATAGTGCTACAGTTGTAGAGATAATTGCTATTTAAGATGTACAGTGTGTGTAAGTGTGCGTACACACACCCACACCCACATAAAGCTGTGATAAACCAGAATAGAACCACTTTTCAGATTATAGTAATCTCAATTTTAGCCTGTGTCAGTTTACTTTATATATTTTTTCTGCACTACACATTTATCGTTCTTTCCTTTCATTCCAGGAGAGAAGATTGCACATGTATATAGTTTATTGCCAAAATAAACCAAAGTCTGAGCATATTGTCTCAGAATACATTGATACATTTTTTGAGGTAAGTGCCAAAAGAGTTTGGGAAGGCGGAGAGAGATGTACTGCATCTGTGTCTCGTGATAGAAGGGAAACAGCTATACAATCTTCTCCAAATTTACTTAATCTTTTCCATTTTTGATATATTAACTCCCTTGGGATTAGGGCTGAAATTGGTTTATTTTTACCGAACGAATGAATGTGTTTCCTGTCTATTAACTCTGACATTTAATATCTTTGTGTAGCAAATTCCAGTTCAGAGATGAATTACATGTAACCTGTGACTTCATTGTAAAACTAAAATCACAATAACTGATTAAAGTGAATCAGTGATGTAGTTGTAGATTCCCCAATTGCTGATACATACCAGAATAAGGAGGTTCAGATTAGGGGGGGGGGGAGAGAACAAAAGGGATATTAATACATAGCTGTAGTACCTAATAAGGATGTTTTTATTCAGCCGTGTCTAATGTACAAAGTTATTTCTGCAAGGCTGATTCTGAAAACTTGATTTACACAAGTAGAGCAGCTGAGCTCTCAAATGTGAATGATCACGTAAGATTTCTGGGAATGTGAGTGATTAACGATAAATTGGATATAATTCAGAGGCCTGTTGGGGAAAACCTTTCAACCTGTTTTTGCCAGATCTGACAGGATGGAACTGGCTCATATTGCAAAGTGAAGTGAATTGATTGTTTTTTCACCCAAATATACCCCCCAGGCACTCTCAGGTTTAGCATCCTGAATTCAACTAGGTTTTCCCCTTTTAATTTGTTCAGACAAGGATGATAAGATCAACTGCAAAGATGAACCAGTAGGGATTTTCTCCCTCACTCAAAAAAAACAAAAAATCCTTCCCCCTCATTGAATATATACAGAATGTTCTGCTTATTAACACACTTTCACATAAACAAAACCCAAAATATCTCAATTCATATTCTAATTAAAATTGAGAATTAAGCAAATGTAAAGGGCAATATACCTAACATGTCTTCTTAACCTATAGAAAGTATTCTGAACTTTACAATATGATTACTAGGACCTGAAGCAACGTTTGGGTCATAGACTTCAGCTCACAGATTTGCTGATCAAACCAGTGCAAAGAATTATGAAGTATCAGTTGTTACTAAAGGTAAGTAACTGCTCCAATTTTCACTTAAATTATTACGTCACATTTGGAAATCCGACTCTCTATATGCATACTCTTTTCTGGATCATTTTGTCAGAGGAAGAAGCATCCTCCCACCAATGTTCCCTCTAATAATTTTTCAGTGTGAGCAGAGACCAGCTGTGCCATGTAAGCTCCTGCCGCCATCCTCGCGCCCGTGCTAACCCTAGATTTTTTGAGGCCTCCTCAGCTTCCGGAGCCGTGACAGAAATCACTGTGCGGCAGTTAGAAACTGCTGCACGGTGTTTTCTTGCCACGTGCGCGGCCGCACAGCCGTGCACCTTAGAGGGAACAGTGCCTCCCACCCCTGGCTATTCACTTTTTTCTTATGTGACTAGTTTTGTTTCTTTGGGCTCTTAACAACTAGTCCCTTTTAACCACTCGGAGGTTTTCTATTAACATAGTTACTGGAAGATGGTCTTTTTGATAAACCTTCTGTTCAATTGAAAGAGATGGGAAATTAGGGATACAGTCTTGTGTGTAGTCAATCACGACAAGGTGATACTAAAACCAGTTCCCTGCTTCATGACCAATATTAATTCCAAACTTCATTGAGCTCAATAGCAATAGCAGTTAGACTTATATACCGCTTCATAGGGCTTTCAGCCCTCTCTAAGCGGTTTACAGAGCCGGCACATCGCCCCCACAGTCTGGGTCCTCATTTCACCCACCTCGGAAGGATGGAAGGCTGAGTCGACCTTGAGCCGGTGAGATTAGAACCGCTGAACTGCAGATAACAGTCAGCTGAAGTGGCCTGCAGTACTGCACCCTAACCACTGTGCCACCTTGGCTCTTCGAGCTCAAGAGATTATGCTCCCCAGACCCTTCCCATACTCCTTCCATCTTAGGGAACAAATCTGGCAAAAGCAAAATGTTCACACAGCAGAGGTCACACCCTTCAAATATACTTAAGTGGGACTGTTGGTTTCCTATTTTTTTGTGAGATTAAAAAGGGGGGAGGGAAGGGGATTAGGAAATGTATCA